GGCTTTTGTTTTGCTTGCTTGCTTGCTTTAATGTTGCATCTATTTTCAATCATTATATGCTGTTTAAATTACATACTACGTAATTATTTATTTCTTGTTGTGGCTGGCCAGAAGATATCTGACTTATTTTCTGAATGTTACACACAATCTCAGTCACTTTGATGGGCCTTCTAGCAGTTACCGGCATGCTTGTATGTTAGATCTGCTTAAGCTGTCACCTTCCGGTCATCAAACCCTGCAGAGAGTAAGTCGAGCTTTATCAGGTCTACCCTGAAGTAGCCAAGGAATTCAGCTTGAGATCACTGTAAAGAAACCTGAATGGGAGCCTTAGAAGGCAACAAATTCAAGTGACATTTTTGCTGAATCTTCATGTGCCAGACAGAGCCGATGAGAGGGGAGGCTGCAGTGCAGAGCTCGGGGTGTAGAGAGGAGAGTGCCTGCACTGGTCTGGTGAGGGGAGGGTGCTCAATGGGCAGGGCTGCACTCGGTGCTCCCTGGTGGAGGTGCTCCTGCAGCAGGGGCTGAGCTGCGGGACGCTGTTAATAGACTGCGGGATGTCAGGGAAGCTGAGAGGAAGCAGGAGTGCTTGCTCCTGGCCCAAACTGTGCAGGGGCCTCGAGCCTCACCTCTGCCTTATGAAGGAAAGAAGGAGGCCGTTAACCTGGGAAGCTGGGAATTAGTGACAAAAAAAAAAAAAAACAATGAAAAAAAGAAGGCAAAGGACAACCAAAAGCAAGGGGCTTCCCCCTAAATCCCCTGTCCCCACGCAGAACAGCTTTGCTGTCCTGCAGGGGGCTAATGAGGAAACGCAGTCGAGCCAGAAACAGCCGGCTGATGCCCTGGTAAAGATCTCTACTGGTGCTGCTAGGAAAAAGCGGCGGGTCGTAGTAGTAGGGGACTCGACACTGAAAGGGACAGAAGCACTCGTCTGCCGGCCAGACCCTGTCTCAAGGGGCGTGTGTTGCCTACCGGGGGCACGGATCAGGGATGTGGCAGAGAGGCTGCCTGCTCTAGTAAATCCCACGGACTATTACCCACTCCTGGTGATACATGTGGGTGCTAGGGACATAGATAGTAGTAGCCTGGGGAACATAAAGAAGGACTACAGAGCCCTGGGGGAGGTGGTCAGGGGCTCTGGAGCTCAGGTGGTCTTTTCATCAATTCTCCAGGGTACAGGGGAGGACCTAAAAAAAGCTAGGAGGATTAGCCAGGTTAATAACTGGTTAGAAGGGTGGTGTCATAGTCAGGGGTTTGGGTGTCTTGAACATGGGACCCAAGCTTGTAGGCCAGGTCTAGTGGGGGCTGGTGGAGCTGCTCTAAAGAAGGGAAAGAGCGGTTTTGGTAGGAGGCTTGCCAGACTGGTCAAGGAGGCTTTAAACTAGATGTGTTAGGGGAGGGGGGCATCATTCCATTCCAACACATCCAGTCAGTTGCCAGAACCTATAATAAATGCTCGGAGCAATGCAGAGATAACCCAGCCGCTCCAGCCAATGAGCCGGCTTCAGTTGGCGCTTGGCTCAGATGCCTCTATACAAATGCCCGTAGCATGGGGAACAAACAAGAGGAATTAGACGTGTGTGCATGTCTATGGGGGTATGATATAATAGGCATCACAGAAACATGGTGGGATGGCTCCTATGACTGGAGTGTTGGGATGGAAGGTTACAGGCTCTTTAGAAAAGACAGGCCTGGCAGGCAGGGAGGGAGAGTTGCCCTTTATGTTAGGGATAGGCTGGAGAGTATGGAACTCTGTCTGGGGACAGGTGAGCAGTCAATAGAGAGTTTGTGGGTCAGGGTTAAAGGGAATATAGCTATGGGAGACATTACTGTGGGCATCTGTTACAGACCACCTGATCAAGGAGAACCTGTGGATGAAGCACTCCATAGACGGATAGGAAAAGCCTCACGCTCGCAGGCCCTTGTTCTCATGGTGACATCTGTTGGAAGGACGGTACGGCCTGGAGCAAGCAATCCAGGAGGTTCCTCGACTGTGTAGAAGACAACTTCCTTCTGCAAGTAATAGAGGAGAGGTGCCGTGCTTGACCTCGTGCTCACCAACAGGGAAGGGCTTGTTGGAAATGTGACTCTCCAGGGCAGCCTTGGATGCAGCGATCATGAGATGCTTGAATTTGAGATCCTCAGGACAGTGAGAAGAGCGTGCAGCAAGCTCACTGCTCTGGACTTCAAAAGAGCAGACTTTGGGCTCTTCAGGAACCTGCTTAGTAAGGTTCCATGGGATACAGCCCTAGAGGGCAGGGGGTCTCGAGACTGTTAGCTGATATTCAAGGATCACCTGCTACAAGCTCAGGAGTGTTGCATCCCAACCAGAAGGAAGTGCAGCAGGAGGGCCAGAAGACCTCCTTGGGTGGATAAGGAGCTGCTGAGGAAAATTCAAATGGAAAAAGAGGCTTATAATAAGTGGAAGCAAGGACAGGTGGCATGGGAAGAGTACAGGGATGTTGTCCAGGAAGCTAGGGACCAGGTTAGGAAAGCTAAGGCCCAGTTAGAATTAAACTTAGCTAGAGGTATTAAAGATAACAGGAAGGGATTCTACAGGTACATAGCAAATAAAAAACAGACTAGGGAAAATGTAGGCCCCCTCAGGAAGCTCTCAGGAGAACTGGCTACTCAGGATTTGGAGAAGGCTGAGGTTCTGAATGACTTCTTTGCCTCGGTCTTCACTGCCAAAGGCTCTGACCAAACCACCCAAGTCTTGGAAGGCAGATGCAGGGACTGTGAGAATGAAGACCTTGGGCCCACTGTAGGAGGGGATCTGGTTCGAAACCACCTTAAAAATCTGAACGTGCACAAGTCCATGAATCCTGATGAGATCCATCCACGGGTCCTGAAGGAGCTGGCAAATGAAGTTGTGAAGCCGCTGGCCATCATATTTGAGAAATCGTGGCGGTCAGGTGAAGTTCCCGATGACTGGAAAAAAGGGAAATATAACCCCCATTTTCAAGAAGGGGAAAATGGATGACCCGAGGAACTACAGACCAGTCAGTCTCATCTCTGTGCCTGGCAAAATCTTGGAGCAGATTCTCCTGGATGGCATGCTAAGGCACATGAAAATCAACAAGGTGCTTGGTGACAGCCAGCATGGCTTCACTAAGGGGAAATCCTGCCTGACCAATTTGGTGGCCTTCTATGATGGGGCTATGGAACTGATGGACAGGGGTAGAGCAGCTGATGTCATCTACCTGGACTTGTGCAAAGCGTTTGACACTGTCCCACACGACATCCTTGTCTCTAAATTGGAGAGACATCAATTTGATGGATGGACCACTCGGTGCTGGGGGAGGGACTCCTTATCCATCCAAGGAGCTGTCATGCTGGGGAGGGACTCTTCATTAGGGACTGTAGTGATAGGACAAGGGATAACGGGTTAAAACTTAAACAGGGGAAGTTTAGGTTGGATATAAGGAGGAAATTCTTTCCTGTTAGGGTGGTGAGGCACTGGAATGGGTTGCCCAGGGAGGTTGTGAATGCTCCATCCCTGGCAGTGTTCAAGGCCAGGTTGGATGAGGCCTTGGGTGATATGGTTTAGTGTGAGGTGTCCCTGCCCATGGCAGGGGGGTTGGAACTAGATGATCTTAAGGTCCTTTCCAACCCTAATTATTCTATGATTCTATGATTCTATGTTAGCTGCTTATACTGGTGTAAATCTTTCTGTATTGACAGCTCTTGGAGCCTTGCAATGGCACAGAAACATCCAGATCTAGTAGCAAAAGCAGCACAGTAATGCTGTGTTTTTATCATTGGAAGGTATAAATGTTAGGAGAAGCAAATCTGAGAGCCTTTAGGGTCTTTAGAAAGAGCTGGATAAGAACAATATTAGAGACTTGAATGTCTTGGTTCTTCTCACAAATAATTATGATAGTCCCATTTTACTTTTGACTTTCAGAGGCTTACTATAAAATCAGACTCACTGAAGATTGAAGTACTGTCAGGTCAAAGATTTGAATCTAGAGGTATCCAACAAAACCTTCTGAGTTCTAGAGGCTTTTTTGCTGTTTGCTTGGGAGAATTACAGTGTTTACTTATTTATGGTGCAAGCATTTCTATGCTGTGAATGACTTGATTAACATGTGTAGATTTCCGAAACAGCTTCACTGCAGAGAAATGGGATGTTTGGGAATGTTTTGCCTGTTTTTCAATATATAATGTGGGTTAATCTAAGTGTAGGCTTTAAAGTATTTAAAATTTTAAAGCATTACTCAAAGTTACATTTTGAATTTAAGTCACTCTACCTGCTCCTCTTCCCTTAGTGATTTTCACGCAAACAAAATTGTTAGGAAGGATTTTCTGACAGCAGATCAGATTTTTAGTCATAATCAAAAAAGTGAAACCACTATATGCAACTACATCTTTCTATTATATTTAATATCTTTATATTTATTTTATATTTTATATTTATATTATATTTATATTATATATATTATATATGCATGGAACTTTTGATATAGTCATAATAAGATATACCCTTACAGCATTCAAGAAATCTGATATTCCAGCTCAATATGAGTAGTAATGGATGTGGGAAAAATCTGTAGGCAAGGTATGCAATGTTAGACTTTGTAGTTGAAAGCATAGTTTCTTTGTACATGAAAACGGATTCTCAATATTCGCCCGCATTTGTAAATATATGAAAAAGAAAATTATTTTAGGGAAGAGTTGGTTTAGGCACTGAACAAAGCTATCTGGGGGGCAGAAATCAAAGTTAATGATTGTTTTTTTTAGAGAAAAGACAAAGGTAACTAAAGTCCCTTAGTTTCTACATTTATATACAAGTCACTCAGTACACTGTTCTAAAGTGTGCTGAACTCTTGTACTTTATTCCACAGAGAAAACAAACTACTATGCATGAAGTCAACTGTGTCCATATCCCTGTATTCTAGGAAATGATATAACTGGGCTACTTTGTAGACCCTCTTGTGTAACGTACCACACTTTGTTAATATGCTGTTTCTTACCTTACAACATGAATTCTTGTTTTTCAGCTCTGAGGGACAACAGAATTGAGCTGGTCCGAGCTTCATGGCATGAGCTGAGTATCAGTGTCAGCGATGTGTCTCTGTCGGATGAAGGGCAGTACACCTGCTCTTTATTTACTATGCCTGTCAAAACTTCCAAGGCTTTTCTCACTGTTCTCGGTAAGTTTAAATAGCTGAGCATAAAGAAGCAAGTGTTAAACTTCTTAGGCTTTTGGCAAATTATGATAAGAATGAACTTTTCTAAAGCTTGGCAGAAGATAAATGTAGATGTCTGATCTTGTTTCCCTGATGTTTATTGTTTCATATTGCTGTGCTGAAAAATAACATGACTCTTACTGTTTGCACTGCGGCAGGGTAATGAATTAGGGAACACACAAATACCAAGGTATGAGTGCTCGGTAAAATGGACATAACTTCTACATCCCAAGCATCAGAAGTGCAAAGAAGGTGCATGCGTTCATCTCCTAATAATGTATTGTATAGGGCAAAGAGGGGGAAATCAGAAAGCATGACATCAAAAGGGGCTGTAGAGCTTTATCATTTTTCCTTAGCTGTGCATTTTCTTGGCTCATTCTGTTTCCTTTTTTGTCTATAAAGTGCATATTTTCACTGGGTTTGCTGCTTCTTTTATACTTTATCCTCTAAGTGCTCTGCTGTTTTCTCCAAAGGTTATAGATACACATAGAGACGCCAGGAAATAAAGTTTCTTCTCGAAGCTTTGTATGAGTCTATGAATGTCAGTAGCCCAATCATCCAAAACTGCTATAGTTCATTGAAACACACCTGTGTACCTAAGAGGTTATAAGATTTTAGAGATTGATTTTTATTCTTTTCTCTTTTTTCTGTCCCTGAACTCGACTCTTTTTGTTTTATTTTTATATGTAGACAGTCAGACAGTTGAATTTAATAGGACTAATGTAAGATGTTCTCTGCACCAGTAATATTCATATTAATCCAGCCATGGAATTGGTTTTTTGCATAGGATATAAAATACATCTCCCTTTCTGTCCCCATGAGACTATTGTACAAAACTCTTCACAATTTTGCCATTAAGAACAAAAAATACCCACTCAAGGCAGAATATTCTGGAATACAACTGCCTGTGGTTAATCCTCTCTGTAGAGAGGCATCTCATGATCTAAACAATAGAAGAGCAGACAAGATCAACATTTTAAAGGGCAGAAAGACATAGAAAGGTGTTACAAAGACAAAAAAAAACAGCTACCCACTATTTATCAGCCAAAGTAACCTTATTTTTCACAGGCCTTTTACATTTACCTTCCTTTTGGGGGAGAGTTTAGTGAAAGTTTCCGAACATCAGCTACTTACTTTCCAAGAAAGAAAGCTGCAAGGTTTAAGATGCTGATCTTTTTTTGGTTTGTAATTTTCTATTTCAAAGTAACATTTTAAACTCTTGGAGCTCCTTCTATCTGAGAAGGGTATGTTTTCTGTTTGAAATGTATTACATCTTTTAATCAGATAAACTATCCTTTTATGTACTAATAATCTCTTTATTGACTACTCTGTTATGGATTAGAAGATTTAAGTGTCAAGGTATTATAGTAGACACCATTTTCTGTCCTGAAAGAGAGGTATAGATTTATTACAGAAATGTACTCTGCGATATGTACTGCTGCTTGGATTTTATGTACGTGATCTGTCATTTTGGAAAAGAGATGTAAACAAAGCAAATTGTGAAACACAGGGCACAGGATCAATTAGTGTGAGTGATCCCTTTATCTAGGCACAAATACAAATGCATCAAAACGCTGCAGATGCAAGTTATTACAATGACATCTTCAGAGGTTTTAAAATTACAGTCATCAGTATCACGTTAAAATAAGTTAGTCTTGTGTTTTCAGAAGCCACATGGATTTATACATGCAGTGATTAAATTTTTCCCAAGTCTTTTTTCATAGAAAAGTAACTAGTTCCAAATTTAATGTTATGCATATAGTATGTCATGATCATCCAGCCTCCTCTAAAGAACTGGGATTCAGCTGAGGAATTCTCCATTAGCCAATGGAATTGTGATTATAACTATTGTCTGAAGAGAATGTGTGAACAAACTCCTGTATTTATTTTCATCCTCACTTTTCCTTGGATTTAGTCTGAAAATCTTCACAATTCATGCTTAAATATCTGTCCTGAACTTAGATCAGTTCAGCTTTCTGTTGCCAGTCACATTTTATTTTCACAGTTGTACTTCTGTGCAGACCGGTTTAAACCTTATAATAACAATTCAGACAAGAGCTTCGTGCACAATATACATAGATAAGATGGTTTTTAAAATATAGCCTGTTTCCCTTAGAAAACTAGGTAATTTCTGTTTTCTTTAAATCTTTAGAATCCACTACAGTTGAGATTGACATTTTATTTGCAATAGGAAACAGGATTCACTGACAGGGCAAAGAATTATTTCCTGAATTTAGAACATATAAGGAAGTGAACTTTATGCTGGTCATATATTCTTGTCTCTGATAGTGTCAGTTGCTGCCATTTTGCTTGTTTGCTTGTTAGGTGTTCCTGAGAAGCCACAAATCACTGGATTTACCTCACCAGTTATGGAGGGAGAGAGGATGCAGCTTACTTGCAAGACATCTGGGAGTAAACCAGCAGCTGACATCAGATGGTTCAAGAATGACAAAGAAGTTAAAGGTATTTAAAAGAACTTTGATATCATTTGGTCCAATAGTCAAAACTATACATTGTGTAGAATCGTATTTTTTAATTCATGTTTGTAAAGTTTCTTATATTTAATCATTAAATGAATCGGTGATAGTACGTAGGTAAGGAAATGATTGTGAATTGCTGGATTGGTCATTTAACCATATTTTTATTCTATTTCTTCAAACGGTAGAAACTGATGTTTTTAATTGCTTTGAACTCTCTTCAGCTTAATAAACTCAGCTTCATAGAGAACTATTTGGGGGATTATTGTTATCACAGCCATACCATTCACTGCAGATATTTTACCTTTTAATTTCTTTTTGCCTTTTTAATATGACACGTCTCAGTTGGTCAGTTGCCAGTTTTATGTTACCCTCTAAGTGACTGGGTGAGGCAGAACCATCTGGAGGAGACAGGAGATTGCTTTTCCAGTAGGGGAGTTATGGAGCCTGCTTTGGTGAAGAAGAGTCAGGTTGTAACATTTGAAGGAATCTTGTTTGAGAGACTGGGAACCTGCAGCTGAGGCAAGGATGCTGAGTCTGTGGTGAGGAGCAGGGAGAAGATGGACTTTAAAAGGGCTGAGGAGAACTTCGCAAGGACTGGGGAGAATTGGACAAAGTGTGCTGTAACTGAAAAGTCATGGGGTGACTAAAATCAAAGCTGAAAGCATGGGTTTGCCTTTGAAGATGCAGGAAAATAGGAAAGAGTTGCATATAAAGGTGTCTATTTCTTTTCTGTCTTCTCTTTCACTTTTTAAGTTCTTTACTTAAAACTTAGTTTTGTAGTCCATGTCTCAGAAATGCTGTGATAGTTTAAAATCCTTTTTGGCAAATGGGTGGGCAAAGCTTCCTATAAAAGAAGGTTTGGTCACATCTCCACAGCCAACTGAGGTCCCATTATAGATTAGATGAATGAAAAGGATAAGGTACTGGTGTTTATTCATGTCACTCCATTGTGCATTAAGACCAGATCAATAAATGATTCAAAATCCACCTTATAAGTGTAGCTTTTTTTAATATATATGAAAAAACTACAACAAAACCTCAACCAAACAACAGCTTTATCTGTTTTGTCTCATATTTGTCTGGTGTTGTGGATTTTGTTAGCTCAATAAACTGCCTCAAGCAATTTTTCAGCATTAATTGCAAAGTCCATTAATCTTCCTTTACTATTCTGCACCACAGTTCAATGTACACAACCAGAGCTGTGATATAAAATTGGTAAATAAAGGAGATTGCAGTTGATTGCCCAAGGAACCCAGTCTGCTCCAGAGCATATTGAAAGACACAGGAATTTTAGGCTTGAGTCATTTGAAATGTGTTTGAGCACTTGTAACATGGATAGAAAATGAGGAAACAGAGACATATCCTTTCCAGCCACAGCGAAATTACTGAAAGAAAGGCATCAAACATAATTAAAAAGAAGAATTTGCCAGCACAGCTAGCACACATGGCACAGCATAGATCCTGTCAGCCCAGAAAGATGACAGCATGAATATGTAAATCCAAGACATGTAAATACAGAAAATTGCTCTAAGCAATATCAGTACTTTAAGGGAACCACTGGTACAGTTGACCTAGCAGCATGACAATACTGAAATAAGTTGTATTAAAGATTTTATTTTATAATCTGATGTAAAAACTTTGCTGTTCTTTCAGCATGCCATTGAAGTCAGGAAGTGATTTGGTGATGTGACTCTTTAACTAATTTGCTCTTCTCAACAGTTCCTTAAGGGAGGGTTTTCTTTAAAAAAGGGGGGTGGGGAAGGAGCAAAGAAGATGTGTCAAAAGGAGTAGTAAAGAAAAAAAAAAATTCAGAGATGAAAATACTGAGCACATTCATTTCAGTTTAGTTTTCTAGGTCTTCTGAAGAGCACATTGCCATTTCACAAAGGTTAAAAATAAAATAACCTAACCAGTTTGCAGTGGCATCAGCAAAAGTTACATTAGCTTTGTGCACTGTAAAAGGTGAAATGATAAATCTGAGAAAATAGATATGAAATTATATGCTAATGCAGCTGACATTAAAGGTTAGGAGTTCTTCTGTCTAGCACCAGTAAATCCAATTGTGTTACAGTGTATTATACATGATGAAAAAGAATATAAATGATGCATTGAGTTCAGAGTTTCACCAAAGGGGAAAAAGCCATTCTAAAATTGTAGCTCCATTACTATTACTCAAAAAAGGAATCATAATGAGACAGACTGCTAGTAATGAGGGAGACTGAAGTACTTAGTACCATGCCTTTTACTTTAGTGTTCTGTTTCATATATGCACCAAATTAACAAAGAGATGTGCAGTTTAGCATTCTGGTGATGTTTCTTGAGTATTATTAAAACAAAAATATTGGAGAAGCTACATACATAATTTTGTAAAGAAAAAAAAAATCTATTTTTCCAACCAAATTTCTTATATGCTCTTTTAACAGCATTATGTAAGAAATTTTTTTTAGGTTTCAAGAATATTTTTAATGGATTATTTTTTTCCCCCTAGCAAAATTTGCCTTCAAAAATAAATAAGATGGTATCAATTTGTTTTGTTGCAACAGATTAAGACATTTGGAATTGGTTTATGTTTTTTAGTACACACAAAGAGCTCAGAGAGGTACTGAATATTTTGACTTGATAAACTTCTAAAATGAAGATGTAATTTTTATAGGCAAAGCCATTTCATGTCAGAATTTGATTTTAAATGTAAACAAAAATTATACTTGTCACGTAAAACCAGCAAAACTGTCTTTTTAAAAGATGAGGTATTCTATATGGATGTTCCAAGTATGTGCCTTTATAAATAGTTGCCAATGAACAATGAATGATAGACATTCTGTAATTTCTATTTTCCCTGTCAAACATCTATACTTATGATATATAAACTAGTATTAATACAAGCATATATGTATGTGCACCTATTTGGTGGAGTCATAGAAATGAGCACATAGTTGACCATAAGATTTCTTATGGCCCAGTCTCTGTTCAATGGTTAGGTCAGGTTGCTAAAGGTCTTCCCAAATTCAATTTTGAAAAATCACTATGTCAGAGGTTCCATAGTCTATCTGATCTAGATGTTTCAGTATTTGAAAGCCTTTATTGTGGAGAATTTTCATTATATGTAGATATTTCATGATACAAAATCAGTATTTGCCTTGATGTAACTTCTGTGCACTGCTGCCCCTCAGCTTTTGCTGTATGCCTCTGAGAGGAATGTGTTTTTTTGATTCTCTATGACCACGTGTTAGGTACTTGAAGGCAGCAGTTTGATCTGGTTTTAGTCTTCTTTTCCTCAGGTTGAACAAACCCAGCCATTGTAATCCGTCCTTGCACGTTTGCCAAAATCTTTCTCAAACCAGAAGGCTCAAAGTGGGCCTAGTGCTCTAGATGCAGCCACACACTGAAAAGAGAAGAATCACTTCCCTTCACTTGCTGGCTGTGCTATTATTAATGCAGGACAGTGACAGTGATAGCCAGAGAAAGTGCTTCTGTAATGGATCTTTTTGTTAAACCTTTTCCTCAAGGGGGTATTTAGGAGAGAGAGGAGTAGAAAGGAAATACATGAAATCATTTAATGCAGTAGGCATATTAAAAATTTCTGTAAAAACCCTGGGTAAATATCCTGAATGCTGGCATGCGATAACATACTCAGTACCTGATTTCCACTGCTCTTACATCCAGTTGGGCTTATATTCAGTTAGCATATATTACAATCACACCATTACAACATTTTGACATGAGGAGACATCTAAGAAGATGCAGCTGATAAAGTAGACAAGATAAATATTTCTGTTGATAAGGATGTCAACAGTTTATAGAGTGGTATCACCATCCTTTTTAGGGAGGTAATTAACTCTAGGAATTGAACTCTTCCCAACAATAGTTGTCTAGAGGAAGGCTTCTAAACATCTGTTAAGGAAATTAATTGGTTTTGTTTTTCTAAAGGATTAAGCATCCACAACCTCTCAGTGAAATTAACGTTGTTGGTGTTTTCAGGAGCTGTCTGTCCTCCACCTGCAGTCAGTAAGCAAAGGCATGTGTGCATTACTTGTAAGCAAACAGCGATCTATATAGGTGTTTATTATTCAATTTGGAAACCTAACTCTGAGAACAAAGTCTCATGTGTTTGCTTCAAATATTAGTGAAGACGTTTGTTGTTTTCATTATAATAAATTTGCTTTAGCCCTGGTCAATATTTCTCTCACCTATGGATCTCTAAATATTAATAGTCACCATGGCAGAAATTGAAAGCTCTTAAAGCTTAGCAAAAAAACAGACAGAAAAACGCTTGTATGCAAGAAATAATTATTTCTTAGGGGAAAATGGATATCATGTAACTGTAGTGTCTTCATCTATCTGGAGGCAATGAAAAAGACCACCTCTCTGATTTCAGAGGTATTTTTAATCTAAAAAGGTGTAGCTTAAGCCATTTAAGATTTGCTTTCTAAAACTGATATTTCATTGAAATTTTATTTAGGTCATATTCCTCTCTAATGGGATTTAGTATAATTTGTAAGACGGAAACCTCTCAGTTTTTCTTTTTTGGGGACACAGAGGACATATGCAATCTCAGTGTAATTGAATATGTATGTTTATTTATTTATATATGTCTTTTAAATCTTTCCTTGTGACAAATCACTATAATGAGCTATTTTGCTGAAATACATTCAAATCAGTATTATAAGTAGTCATGAACTAAATGAAACACTTTTAAAGCATGTATTAAGAAGACCTCATGTTGCAGTTAATACATTAATCTTCAGTTCTGATCTAACATGTATGTCCTACAACAAAACTTTCTGAATTTGAACCTTAACCTTGAGCTGAGCTGAATACTTAAACATAGCTGAAGGCTCCCCACACTTTAGTATCTGGGCTGAAAACTGTCAGAGACTTAAGTAAAGCTGCACAAAGGAAGTAGGCCAGTTTAACGTGATACAAACCAGTGAGTGCAAGGTCTCTGAAGTAATTTTATTTCCAGTCTTCTTGGAACTCGTCTGTAGATTCCAGTAAATACTGTGACATGCTCTATTTACAGTTGTTCATCAACATCAATAGCTATACTTCAGTTTAGTTCAGTTTATAAACTATCATAATTCTAGCCAAAGAACAGAATAACCCATGAATATAGTAAGTGCAGGATTAATGTGATTACATGCATGCAACCCTTAGTTTACATCGCTTTAGTGATATCCATGTATTAGTAACAAATTTTGTAATATCCATGTATTAGTATGTGAGTGCGGTATCCTGTAACCAGTTTTAAAATGTCCCTTTTCAATATATATATTCAGCTCTTATAATCAGAGCAAGTTGAGGAATAACTGCAGTCTGATTTTGTCTTAAAGAGATGTGAAAGACTTCTTTTTTCAATTGTGATACATAACTGAGCTTTCTAATGCTGGACTCCTTTTCCCCAAAACATTGGAGATGTTTGTTCTTTCTTTCAGATGTTAAATATTTAAAAGAAGAAGATGTAAATCGGAAAACATTCACAGTCAGCAGCACGCTGGACTTCCTCGCAGATCGCAGTGATGACGGTGCAGTTTTAAGTTGCAGAGTAGATCACGAGTCCCTAAACTCTACACCTCAGATAGCAATGCAGGTTCTAGAAATACACTGTAAGTAACACACGTTTTATATGCTTGCTTTTATAGTTCAGTTTTGTTTCAGAGTTTCTGTTCTGGGAAAATTATAAAAATCTCTGATACCATGCAGATGGGTAATGTCATTCTTTTAGCCAGCTTCTCTGTTCTGTATTTTATGGTTGGTTAGTTTGGGGGTGGGGGATATTGTTGTTTTTTACAGGAGTAACTCTAAAAAGTCTGTTACGAGCTTTACCAGTGAAAACACGATGGGACTGAGCTCCCGGTTTGCTTTGAGAAGTGGTAGAGTGGAAATTCATTTATCATTGTAGCAATGTGAAGGCGTTCGTACAAATCAAGATCATAGTACTTCACAGCCCTCCTTGAAAGTATCTAGAAACAAGGGTATGAAGAAGCAAAGTTCTCAACAGACTGCCCCAATAACTTTGAATCCTGTTAATGAAACTCTGTTTAATGCTGTTAATAATACAAGACCGGGAGGAAAAGCCCTTTATAATTTATTTTTAGGCTTTGTCCATACAGGATGTTGCTCTAGATAATCCAAACTTCAGGTGTTTTGTGTATTTATTTATTGGTTTATTTTTTCAAACAGTATTTCTGGAAACTTCTTGTCTTCTACAGTGCATTGTTTCAGAGTTGAATGAACCTGCCTATGTTTCTGTGTGCCCTACTCTGAAGTCATGTTGTACTTTGAGTCATTTTTCTTCACTTACAAACTGTAAGACATTCAGGAGAACACTTATTCACCATCAGACTATGTTTTCATATTTGCTTGCATTATACCCACCATTCTTCAGGGTTCAGCTATGTGGATTTTTGCAGAACTGTGCTTTGATGAGTCTGTGATTGACAGCTAGCAAAAACAGGCATCTGCAAAATACCATCAGACCAGGTAAAGGGAAGAAACCTTTCATGAATCTGTACCTAGGGTAGGTGTTATCAACCTGTTATCAAGCAGTAACTGCAACTAGTTCCCAACATAACATGTCAAGGACTGCTGGCACACATAACTTGTTTCTAAACAGCGATATTTCCATAAGCATCAAAGGCTCGTAGCACATGTAAAATGCAGTAAAAGCAAGAGCACTCCATGCACAGAAGCTGACAGTATTGCTAAAAAAGCCATCTGCATAAAAGTCTGAAAATGAGGAGGATGTGGATTAGCGTCCATAAGTACTATGTACTGAAAAAAAAGCTGTTTTCTGAAATGTTCTACCCAGCATTTTGTTGAAGGAGATCAAACCCTTTCTTCAACAAATGGCTATTAAACACCTGCTTCCCCTAACATGTTCAAATGACATCTGCACTAGAGACATGGATCCTTAACAGCTTTATTTCCTTGAAATTAAATCCCACAGCCATCAGCCACTGAGCTGGCCCATGCCTTCACTTCTAAATTGCTTGCTCTTCCTTCAGTACCCTGCTCGAGATGTTGGCACTAGAGGAGAGGAACCAAATTGAATGGAATAATAGATAGAGAAATAAGCCAGCTGTATGAGGTTTAAAATGACTCACAGAGACTGAAATGTGGTGTGATTCAGGATAAGGGCACAGTTCTGGTTTGTGTGAGCATCTTAAGGTCACAAGGTGGTAAAGCCTTTCTGTGGTCTTGTATATATAAAGCTTCTTGAATGTTTGCTGTTTCCTTCTGATTTGCACCCTAGGTAGCAAGACATTGCCTTGCTAAATAGCTGTGGGGTTCATGATTCCATTGCATCATGTTTTGGGCAAGACTCCTCTCTCTTCTGTGGGTTCACTGGAGTTTTCTAACAAGGACAAATTGCACCAGGCATTTGCAGTTACTAATATGTTTTTTGTTACTGCCCCTTCAGACTGCCAGCTTGTTAAAAGCCACAATGTGCAAGTAATTATTCTCTGTCATTCCTGCATGCTCCATTAATTTTCCACCGATCAATTTAATACTCTTCAGCACTAGTATAGAGGCATGATGCATGGAAAGATAAGTGAACAATGTGCCAAAAGAAAGTTTAGAAGAGAGGGTGCAAATACATTTAAAACCATAGAGAAAGCAGTATTTTGGTATTGGTGACAAGGAGACTAAGAACAGGCTGTTATTGTCCTTTTCTTAGCACTTACATCTCCATGGTCAACATACTCAGAAGTCTTACACTGGGCGGGTTTTTAATGGAATCGTTATAAAATGAAAAGGGGACTCAGGGAACTAATGATGTGGTTCAGCAGAGAGACTTGAAGGAAAAAGAGGAGAAGGATGATTTACTATAGCAATCCCAAAGACTCTGAATGGAGTACATTGCACTGGAACTGGGCCCTGCGTTTTATTCTCCTGCTATTGCTCACCATCATTTGTGAGTATTACTGCAGTCACTGGATTTTTCCATCAATCCGTAGGACTTCAAAAATCTGAGATATCCTATTTGTATTAATGAGAGGCATGCTCACGGGAACCAGTGTGAGTTGACCCAATATATCCTTAGTGCCACCTGACAGCAGTTCAAAAATAGTGCTGACAGAGCAGATGGATTATGGGACCCCACAAGAAAAGTCAGGAGAATTTGTTAATCTGATGTCCTGTAGGCTCCAAAATCACAAGCAAGTAGTGAGGCATTGCTCCACAGGGCACTTGTTCTAATGTCCGGGAGGCATTTCTGCTGAGCAGAGTGCTATGGGAGAATGATAAGCAAGTGCCTTAAAATGGACAAACAGAACAGCATAGCTGAGCATCAGTTCAGGCAGAGAACGGATGCACAATGATTAGGCATCACCCACTGGAACTGCTCGTGGTTTTTAAACACTTTCCTAAAATCTGAAGGATTTTGTCTGTGGTACATGGATGCTCCTTACCAATTATCAGTGTATCATCACAGGCCAGAAACAAAGAACAATAATAAATTGTCTGGCCATTTCTGTCCCATATAATTATGCTTGAAAGTAAAAAGCCTTCTTTGTTTCAAGCAGCTAGCCCCTGACAATGGAGGAAACATATGGCTTCATCAAAACAAAAAGCACAAAGAAAAGAAAAGCGACTGAACAGTAGGAATTACAGGACTGTTCGTGATAGGTAGAGAAAAAGGAAAGCAATGTAAGAGTTGGAATGACAGGTTTATTATTTATTCTAGTGAAAGATAGAATAAAATTAAATCTGTCCTAGACGATGAGACTGTATGAAACAGATATGTGTAATAAGTCCATGGAGAGATGTAGATAGAGGTGCTTATGAGTCCACACAGCTGTTTTTATCATCAGCTTTAATAGGAAGTAAACTTAACAAAACGAAAGCCAGTAATGCCATCAGCAGCAATATCAATACAGAATATACTTTATTTCCTCTTCTTCCCCTTACACAAATCTTAGCTTTTGTTAGTGCGATAAAGCAATCAAATCAGCTTTCCCCTGTACATGAAATGAAGCTGAGGACTAAACTTGTAAGATAAGAAAGGTTTTATTTTCTTTTAATATGTATTTGTGTATGTACTAGAAATAATGTCTGAGTCCTCCTGCCACTCCATTTTTTAATGGTTAGACCTAGAAGTAGAGATTACCTATGTTATTTATAGCTTGACCAAAAGAAGGATATCTTGAAGGAGACCATGATCAATCCTCCTTTTCACAAAACTTTCCATATCACCTTTGCAGATATCAAATATTAAAATAATAGGGATGCAGGAGGGTAACCATACTGTACCCCACTCCAGACTTTGGGATAATTAGCTCCTCCAGTCTTGTGAGCTTTATTTATCACCAGTTTATGTTATGTCTCACTTGTGTTTAATCTTGTTATTCTGTATATCGTGCTCTGTGCACTGAAGGGCAGCCCAATTGCCCAAGTCTTTCTCATGCTGAAAGGTTTGGCCATTATTTAGTTTCTGCTCAGCCAGCAGAGGTTTGTGGTAGCATGACACTGCTTGCTGAGTTTATTTTTCCTCTGACCCTTACTGTCAACAGTAAACCTAAAATAGACTTGTATCCCCCGTGGCTTTGTTCTGAAGTTTGCTTGTCAGCCTAGCTGACACTGGTTATTAGGAAGTGCTTCTTGTAAGTGATAAATACGAATCTCAAAGGGGTATTTAATTTCATTGCTGACTTTTACATTCAAACTAAACTAGGAATGCATTCTTTGTTCCTGTATTAAAGTATCACAGGTGCAGTACTTCAATTTTAAGGAATTCTCAGTACAATGCTTGCCTAGACTGTGTACTCTTAAGCACATGCACACTCCGGAAAAGACATTTTGAGGGCAAGTACAAATTCTGGTCCACATCTGGGAAGTTAGTGAATTCACTTATCCCTCTTCAATGTCTCAGATACATCTTGTTTCCCAGAAACAGCATCTCTGCATTCCTCCAGGTCTTCCCAGAGCAGAAGCCAGCCAACACGCTGCTTCCTACTTGAACAGAGTGCCATAAAATTACCCAGTGGTTATTACCTTACCTTAGTGAAGATTCTCTGACTACAGTAAATTACCCAGCAGACCTCAGTAAAAATTAATTGTGTAAGTCTGCCCCAGAGACTTCTTTTGAAGCTTTAAAGTGAAATCAAATCATTTGAACTTCAAACCTAATCATCATGATTCTAAAATGGCAGCTGTGATGTGATCCGTGCTAATGGACTCTGTGAGATTTTGCTCAAAAGCTGACCACGTTCCCAAATGACAGCACTAATAAGCTAAATATGTGTTATGTAAAGAAGTGTCTAGAGAGGCAATTTTGAGTAAATTCTATATTGGCAGACACAGATGTGCAGTGAATTGTTGGTCTGACAAGTCTATAGCCATCAGCTAACTTGCTTCTACAGGGTATTCCAACAGTGTTTGTGTAATAGGCCATTTCTTCATTTGTGGGTTGTTATTAGATTCTTTTGCAATGAACATCTGAACTTGACTTTAAAATTAGGCAGCTATTCCAAGAGAATGTTGGAATTGTTGTCCGGGAAATAAATGTATTGATTCTGAATTAAGCAAACGAACCACCTTGAATGCAGCCAAGTACAGAGAGGCAAATCAGCAATGCACTTGTGCAGCCATGTAGAACATAGTG